AGTATTCCACAAAATTTGAGACTATTCTTGAATGTTAAACAGTAACCTGGAATGTTTCGGGTTGCTCTAGATTCTTTCTGAATATTCCGCAACATTCGAAGCTTTCAACAGAGAGCTTCGACAGCCTGAACTCAATGAACTGCGCAATCCGATAACCCCGGATGATGTTCAAAGAACCCTTTGCTGCTCCAGGCCCAGAAGCTGAACACTTATTGGTGGAAAAAACTACCAAGCACCCATCGCCATCTGGCCAGTGTTTTCAACTCACGGCTGGACGGAGCGCAGCTGATTCCAGATTGGTTTGTCGAGGGGCGGACCGTTCTTATCCCCAAAAGCGGAGATTTGTTGATTCCTAAGAATTACAGACCGATAACATGCTTGTTTACAAGCATCTTGTAAACACGAATACTCACCGCAATTGACCAAGTGTTCGAACGGATATATGAGCAGAGAGGGTCGACAGGAGTCGCTGGATGTAAAGAGAACCTGCTCATCGATAGATGTGTAACGCAGGACTCGATACAATATAAGCTCTATGACCTGGATCGATTACCGTAAGGCATTTGATATAATTTCGCATGAGCTCATCTTGCATTTGCTCAGATGCCTTGCGGTACCCGACAAAATAGTGATATGCAATGATACCACCCTGGCGAACTCGCTTTACCATAACATTCAAGCAAGAGTCTAAAGTGGGTGGGTCACTTTCAGAAGGGGTGTATTTCAGGGTGATTCCCTCAGTCCCCTTCTCTTCTGCATCTCACTATTGCCATTATCCGTTGCGCTCAGAAATACTCGAGGGTATAACTGTGGCACCCCCGGAAACCGAAGGTACAAGTTCACCCATTTGTTTCATATGGATGATCTTAAACTAACTTTATGCCTCTGGAGAGAAGGATATCTATCAGTCTTTGAGGGTGGTGGAAGAAAACACGCATGCTATCGGTATGAAATTCGGGATAGACAAATGTGCAATTGTCCATCTCAAAAGAGGACGATGCGGGAACTACGGAGAGAATGTGCAGCTCGTAGATGAAAGCATCCTACACCATCTGGATGCCGGAGAGACGTATACTCACCTCGGGATGAAATAACGCCACTCACAAGAGGTAACAGCAGTGAAAAACTCTCTCGGCGGCAAGTATCAGCACAAACTTCGACAGATCTAGTCATCGGAACTGTCGGGGAAGGACAAAGTTGCTGCAACAAATATGCTTGCCGTTCCAATCTTACTCTACTCGTTTGGAGTAGTGAAGTGGACTCGGGAGGAGCTGTATCAACTCGGTATAGTTTTCGAAACTGAACGAGGTGACCACAACTCTGTCACCAAGTTGGAACCCGTTCAGCAAAAAGCTCAGATAAAAGCCGCAGAGATCACTTTACTTCTGCGGAAACACAAGGATAAGCCAATGCATGGGATCTTCTTCAATAACATTGGAGACCTTATCAAAGCGTCCGACGTTCGCTTTTCAGGTCGAGTGGGCTGAAGTCGGAAACTGAGGGGTTCATCATGGCTTGTCTTCAACACCTTAGTCTAATGAAGTTGCGTGATGGGTATAGAGGCTCCTGACACAAGGTGCAGGGCCTGCCGCGAGGCGCCCGAGACCCTAATGCACTTGCTATCAGCATGTCCAGCATATGCGGTCTCGGCCTATATCCATCGACATAACGCGGCCCTAAGAGTGCTATATTACCATCTACGGCACTCTTACGGTATTGACTAGACACCAGTGTTGCTCTACGCTCCGGGTGATATTGAATCCGTTGTGAGGAACGAGAAGTGCCGAATTCATTGGAACTATTCGTTCACCACCTCAGGCTCCTACAAGCTAATAATAAGCCTGATGTAGTCCTTCTCGACCACCAGAGCGAAACGATATTTGTCGTGGAGTTTTTAGCTCCTGGCGAGACGAATATCTTCAGAAAAGAGGAGGAAAAATGGATATAATATCGAGATTTTCTCTTCAAACTCCGCAGACTCTATCCAGATCACTCTGTCAAGATGATTGTTCTGAGTATTGGAGTCCTAAGTGGAATGATGTCCTCTCCACTCCCGAATTTCAAAATCATACCGGCTTGCCGCACTAAGGCAGAAATATCAGCCGGAAAGATGCAGAAGGCTGTCATTCTTGGCTCACTGCGCTTGCCCAGGGCATATGATTCTCGGTCCCGATGATTACTTCGCATATTACGGTGAAAAAAATAATAATTATGGTCTTTATTGGGTGAAATAGAGTACAACAACCAAGAGGCTAAGTTCAAAACTACAGTGAAGAACACTACAGATTTTTATCGACCATTTTTTGGGTAATTGTTACCTTCCACAATCTGAAGATTTTAAATGAGGGGGAATTTTATTGTAAACGTTGCACAACTGGTACGTGAATGATCTCTTGAAAAATTCATGAGTGTGTATCGTAGGAGTTAATAACCCTTTGTGCCGTACATTCATGTTGTGTATGTCATTCCGAAATGTAATTTTATTATATAGATGAGTCGGAATTTTATTGCAGATAAACTCATGATAGATTTACGCTGAGTGTAGCGATCGAAGGCAGCAGTTTTGAATCTTTTGGGGACTTTTTTTGTTCCTAATTTTGAAGCTTGGTCCATACAGTACATCTGCATAGTTCAAAGAAAAAAAAACGAGACTGTCACGTAGAGTAATTCATGTGTTTTATGGAGTAATTTTTCGAGTCCCGTAAATCAGCTTGAGTGAGAGGTAAGCTTTCTGGATTAGTTTTTTCACATGGGAGATCACTGACTATAGTCACACCAAGATTTTTTGCTTCCTTCACAATTTCCAATCCATTAGAGCCTATACTAATATTGAGTTTTCGTTTTACAATATCTCTGTGATTTTTTGGACCAAATATTAGTATTTTCGACTTAGATGTATTATTCATTCCGGACAAGGGATGAGAAAGTATCGAGATCATGACTGATCCGCCTTATAGCTTCATTTACCCTGTGTGGTTCAAAAGAATAATAGATTTGTCATCGACATAGAGATGTACACTACAATACTGAAGGCATTTCACTAATTGACTGGTGTATATCATACATCCCTGTGGAACACCTGTTTTCAATTAAAAGGTGTGGAATGTTTTCCATCAAGAACAACTTCCAAGCGTCTGTTGTGTAGATAATTAAAAAAAAAACTGAGTCATCGATGATTTCGATCACTCGCTTTGAAAATATCATCGGTTACCTTCAATAGAACTGTAATAATGCTGTGACCACGCCTAAAACCCTACTGTACTTTTGGTAGTAGTTTATTATTTTAGAGCAAGCAGAAAGGATGCTGATGGCCCGCAGATCTTTCAGTTCTACTGGATTATTTTTTTTGTATTGAAGTTACCGATGCTGCTTTTCACATAGTAGGAGAAACGTTCCTTTCTATACAAAAGTTGAAGGTATGCCCTAAATAAGGAAGAAAGAAAGTACAACACAATGAGATCATTTCTATACTGAGCCCATCACATCCGATGGAATTTTTGTCAATCAAAGATATTGTTCGTAATATGCAAATATCATCCACTGATAAGATTATAAAATGAAATTATGTAGTTTGACAATTTCGCGCCAAGAGCGCGTTATTATCTGACGAAGGCGCGAAATTAAAAAGTATGAAAATTACATTATATTTAGATTAACTTATTTTTAACACCCAACAAAAAAGTTCTGTTTGTCTGTGCGTCTGAGTGTACGTCCGTGGCATTGTAGCTCCTGGATAAATGGACATATTTTGATGATATAATTATATTTTCGTTTCAGGCTACACGAAACGGAAATAAAATAAAAACAGCTGCTGAAAACTTATCTCTGTATCAACAATTAGAAATTGACTCAAAATTGAGAGAAAATTGTAGCTCCTGGACAAATGGACATATTTTCATGATATAATTATATTTTCGTTTCAGGCTACACGAAACGGAAATAAAATAAAAACAGCTGCTGAAAACTTTAATATCTCTGTATCAACGATTAGAGATTGACTCAAAATTGGGAGAAAATTATGACTTCCCTATGGGGAGAAAGTTTTATGGGATAACTCTGCAACAGTTGCATAAATTGGCATATGACTTCGCCGTTGCAAAAAATATCAAAGATAATTTTTTGTCCAAAAAAAGAATGGCTGGAAAATGTTGGGGGACTTTTTTTTTAAAGAAATCCCGGAATTTCTTCAAAGCTCCCCAAGCCAACAACAGGGTTTTGGAATTCAATAAATCAGAGATACTCATATGTGATTTTTACTGTGATTATTACAACTTCAAGTCTGATATAAAATTGACTGTAGTTATCTCTGAGTCTGACTTGTTCACTCACTCGTACATTCAAATTAAAGAGTTAATAAGACTTCTAGTTGATAAAAAAATCATATATGCAGAAAGTTATCCACTTTTTTGTCATTAAGAATTTAAGGGTAATACTTCACATAAAGATTATATTTCTGGAGATAAAAAGAATTTGGATCTCATTATTTTCACGCAGTAGTTTGTGAAAACTTAAAATTGTATTTGTTTTTCCATTATTATCACAGTTACTTATCAATTTGTACATATTCAATGTGGGCACGATTTCATCAAACCTAGGTATGATATTATCCGACTAGTTTGACAATTTCGCACCTTTCACTTTTTTGTAATTTTGCAATAATCACTTACTGTGGATTCTTTGTCATACGGTATGAGTACCTAAATTGATTTCCTACTAATTACATCATTTTTGATTCTACGATATCAAACATTGTCCTAATTATTGGTCCAAGTCCTTAGCGGCTAGGTATTATCCAAGCCTCCCCTATCTTTCTCCATTCAGAAGGAAGCTTACAGGAACAATATCTTGAAGTACATTTCGGTTTTTTTATATTGAAACTAAAGAAAAAGTAACAAGATTACTTTGCTGAGAATACATTTATGCAGGTTCCAAACTATACATTAAAGTTTCGTTATTTTCTAAAATTATGACTAGATGATATTTTCTTCATTCGTCCTCACCGATAATGTGATCTGGGTCATATTTATCACATATTTGGATCCACCAATCTCTATGGTTGTCAATTAGGAAACGAATGATCTTCTTTGATATTTCTTTCTGACGATCACTACATTTAGCACAATCTGTTTTGATTGCATCATTTAGAACACCTATGAAAAGAAAATATAACGAGTTAGTGATTGTTATACACTTACTGTAGAAAATTCGAATGATATTCACTCAATGAATAATTCCAATAATATTTCTTCTATAACTTTTTGAAAAAGCGTTGAGTATTTGGCCGTTTCTGATTAGATAACTAGACAAAATAACCCATTACTCACAACTTTGAACAGTTCCAACCAATCACAGTTGAACAGATACGTAACTCACAATTTTTGGGGACAATCACGGATGAGCAATTTTATAACTATATAAGAGTTCTGCTTCAAATTTTTCCATGTAAGCCTTGATATTTTTTTTTACCTCAAAGTTTACCGAAGTTCACAAAAAAGTCTGTCATTTTGAAATTTCAATATTTCGTACTATTACAAAACAAAAAAATATAATGGTAGACAAATTCAAATATATTATTTATCAGAGTATTTGAAGCCTACATTCTCAATAGCAGACATTCATTCCAGGCAGGAAGACATTTCCCGGCAGGAGCCATGATATCTTCTCGATTATCGTAATTCACGTCAGCAGATTCACATTCACATAATAGCAAAAAAAGCTCTGAACAACTTATAACCAATTTATAAAGTCATTTGATCAATAGATAAATAAATTCGTCCAGTCCTGATTTTCCAAGAAATAAATTTTTCAGTATAATGTCTGAAAAAGCAGCAAATCAGGTAATAATTTATGAGAAAACTTCGTATCTGAATGTACAGTAGATTCCAATCGTTTTGACAAAACAAAAAAAATGTAGAAAAATTGTCAAAGTAGGAGGACAGAATTAAGAAATGAAGATACAGTGAGAATTTTTTGAATGCATGTTGGGAATTTTGGTGAACCATAAAATCGATGTCCATGAAATTATGTCAAATCCCAGTAGGTACCTCTCACTCTATGTCGTTTAGATGCTGGGATTTATTAAACTGATGAATGTCTAGATGCTATAACCTATCGTGATCCACCACATTAGTCCGATGTATTTTTTATAGACGGCTTTTTCATTTTACATTCGAAGATTGAATTGCCTGAAACATTTCGTGGTATTTCCAAAAATTTCCTGCTAGTCATCACAAATCATCCACTTTATTTTTGACCAATTTGAAACCATCAATTAAAGACAAAGTAAATTTAAAGAAAATTTGTCTGATAAAGTAACAAGGGGGTCTGATATATTGATTATCATGTTTGATAATATGGATCAATAAAAATTTGCTTCTCATGTTTGGATGCTGATAGGATAGAAAATTATGAACGGTTTATTGATGTTACCAACATCTATCAAAAGGTTGGTGAATTGTTAACTGAGAGTTCAATTGGCTTTCACGTTTTTGTGGGATGAGAATACAATTCCGCTTTTTCGCTCAATAAAGGAAAAAATACCTTTCTCGATGTTAGAAAAAAATTGCTGTATTCCAAAAAGCGCTTGCTACTAAGGGTGATACTAATTTTACCAAAAAGAATTTACAGGATCTGTTCGACGTCATCCAAAAATTTACATGTCAAATGTATAATGGCATGAAATTCATGGATATAAATGATGCTAGGTACCAGCTTCTCATCAACGGTTATTAAGTTATGGATGTAAATTATACTTTTACGAGAAAAGTGAGGAACTTTGATGCAAGTTCTATAGCCCCTTGCAGAAGTGAACTGTTCCAACAATTTTTGAGGGCTTATTATATTTCCAGTGTTTAGAAAATGCATCCCATAAAGATTCTACTACATTGAATCGTCTTGAATATGGTAGGATTGAACAAGAAGGTACATTTATCTTCAAATGGTTTGAAGAATATCAACTTTCGTGTTTTAAAAGAGATTCGATCGTTCTTTCAGTTGATACAATGTTGATATATTGATTTCATTTCAAATATGTTCATTTACTAATTTGAATTTGATTTTTTCATAAGTTGATGGAGTGGCCGACGAAAAAATCTATTGATGCAAATGATTCTGAAAGTAACATTGATGAAAACAACTATATGCTATCAATATTGAAATATATTTCTTACGTCAAATCATAAGTAATTATCATTTCATTTGACCCTACTTCTGAACGTATCCCCGAAACAACGTGACACAAAGACCATTGGTTTGAGTGAACATCATAATACTTTTTCACAGACAATAATGGAAGGAGAAAAATTCCGTAGATTTCTGTAGACTATAGTACTTATATATGTATACATGTACGTATGCTGAAACTGTAGGTATAGGTACAAGTTTTCGCTGTTTGTCGAGATGTTTATGATTATAGAAAATGTCTGCCATTGTAAATGTGAACTTCAAATACCCATGATATAGTTGAATATCAAGTTTGTTAAAATACTTTTGAAATTTAATATTTTCTGCACATAATTGAAGTGTCCGCCACGGTCTTAGGATTGCCACAGTTGTCTGCCATCATATTATATTTCTGCCTTTCAAAATACTTTAGAATTTCGTCTACCTGAATAATCTAAGTGACGATATATGTACTGCCCATGGAGAGAGACTGGAGCGGAAACTTCCACAAATAAACCCAAAAGAAATCCAAGACAAGTTTACAAAAATAAGACTTTACCACCAATAGTCATTAAGAGGTATACTCCTATTGAACAAAGACTAAAAACTTTCAAACGAGAGCTGAAAGGCGGATTTGAATTGAAGTATGCCGATCGATCAACGCTTCTGTACACCAAGAATAGTGAAGAACACGACACAGTAATAAATACATTGAATAAGTAAAATACAGAATATCACTCCTACACACTGAGACACCTGAGCACAAAACCCACGCATTCGTCGTGAGAGGTCTAGAGGCACAATCGTCCACCGGCGATTGTCATTCTATAATTGCAAAATAGTAGGACTACATTTTCAGAAATGACTGACGTTTATGCCTTGATCTGATGATCTGTCTCTTGCAGTGGCATACAGAAATTATACTGAATAAATGAGGAAAAATAACGATAAAATATATGGACCCACAATCTGGACAACGAGGTTTTCGTTATGGAAAAGATTCAAAATATGTAATGAAGTCAGGCTTTAGTTTTTACAAAAGAAGAGAAATTTATTCAATATTAAAATCATAACACTACCTGAATCGGTTTTACAGGTTAGGGTGAGACTGACTGAGTAGACCGATAACAACTGTATAAATATTGGTGATAGAGTTCCGTGAGGTGGAACTTTTTCCTCCTCTCTAAGGATATTTTTCCAAATTTTGAATATCTTTAATATTTTTCGAAATATTTGCAAAATACCAACTCCCCTTTTTTTAATAAATTGTTTATAACTTTTACAATTTTTCGAGCCCCTCTTGAAATTTTTCAAAAATTTGCTAAAGATCATTCCGAATCGAATCAGACCTGGATCATAATTTTCGGTGCCCTTGGACAGAAGTTTCAAAAAATGGATCTTGTGACCCAGACTATAATTCTCGAATTTCAGCAGCAACTGAGACCGCGTGACTACGACCGTGCACGCGTATGTTCTGATATCATTTTTACATTACCAAGATAGATTTTCCTGAACGAACTGTCATCACAAAATTTGGTTTTCGAATTTTGATTCACTTAGTATTAATATATTGTAGTCAAACTGTCATTTCGATAGTGATAAAATTATATTTTGGTAATATTTTCATATCAATGTAGACTTTTCAAAAGGAGTATCATGGAAAATGAGGACTGTAGAATGGATCCGTGTTTGTCGTTATTTTCAGCATAACTTCTGAACGATGTGGCATATACTAACATAGTCTTATCTGTTCCAAAAGTACTTCACTGATGAAATTGGAATATGGTAAGGAACAAATAGCATTCAATTTAAAAAACCTAATTTTGATAGGCCATGCTTCCTCTTAGTACCCTGTATATCATGAATAATTGGTTTTCGAGTTTCGATTCATTTAGTTTCAGTAGATTGTAGTCGAACTATCATTCGATGATGAAATATTCTAATAAAAAATTTGACTTTAAAGATGAGTTATCATTGAGAATTTTGACTGTTAAAGGTATCAGCGTTTTGTCATTATTTTTGGCATAATTTTTGAATGATTTGGTATATACCTATATATTTCTATATTTTTCTAAAGTACTCCACTGATGAAATGAGAATACGGAAAACATGTCATTTTCTAATTTTTTTTAAACCTATTGACTCTCTACCCAGAATATTCATCTCACTTTTTACACAGATTTTGAATTTTTCGAAATTATATTGTATTTGAACAGCATTTGTCGATTGTTAAAATTCTTATCGGATACTTTTCTCCTGAGCAACCTTTCCCTTGCAAAGCAAAGTTTCAAATATCTAGAATATCATAAGATAAGAATATCACATAAAGTGTTACCTCCAGAAATCTGAGTACACGTTTAACAGTACTTTTTTCATTAATGTGTGAATATATTTGAACTGAAATAATATCTTCATCAATAATAATTGGTGCACAAATAGACAACGAAAAAAGTATATGTAATCCAGTAACCGAAAAGTATTTAGGTTTTTTTTTCGTTTCAAAGAAATGATACTGATGAATCAACTTCAATAATGAACTTTAAATTTGTTTCTTGTCTGAAAGTTTCCCCAACCTATTGATGAAGCAATGTTACAAATGAAGTAGAATGACTATGGAATTGTCTTTATTACAAATCATTATTGGTGTGTGAATGTTTTTGTTGTTGCTTCAGGTTCAAAGTGATATCACTCTTGTAATTGATAAAGACTGACTTTTGAAGTAGACTGAGTCCAAGAAAATTGTTATTTTTTCAAATTCTGGCGAAACTTGTGTGAAAAATACACTTTTTTTGGAAAGGGGCATTATCTGTTAAATCGCAGCAACTAACTATCATTCAAATTCGACTGAGATTTGGAACAATAAAACCTTTTCCATTTTGTATTATATAAAATCGAATTGAAAAGTTTCGATGTCATCGAGAAAAATTCATTCAGAAATTATTTATTTGTTGCAGTCATAGTTTTGGTATTCATTAGCTTACTACCATTC